AGTTTTTTATATACTTAAAAAATACTTAATAAAATATATTTTGAATATATTTTAAATATATTTTAAGTATATTTTAAATATCGTAGTTTTTATAGGTAAGCTTAAAGCTGAGTCTTTAGAAGAGATTAAGATGCGTGAAAGGATTGAAAAAACTATGCTAGAGCTGGATAGGTGTTTATATTGCAAATTATTATTTATGGAATAGTTAGTATATCATTTTTTTTGCGACCACATTGAGATTCTATGTCACATGCATAATCACTGTGTGACTGCCTTCAGCAAATTATAGTTATGATCGAATTCACACTCAATTGGAATCCCGATAGTAAATATGAACTGGGATGAGTAGAATAACTGGGATGATCTTTTTTGTATGATCAAAACCTATTGGAAAACAAAGACGATCAGGTGTTGGAGAGAAAAAATACTTAAATAATTCATATATAATTTATCTGCTATGAGAAATCCAACAGCTTTATTTAATGTATTCATACAATCCGATGCTTTTTATCTTTTGCAAATTTTGAGTCTGATAGAATTACACAATACAATTCATCTTCTATGGGAAATAGATACTATTGATGGGGATGAGATCAAGGTAGGTGACAATACAGATAAGATAGATAAGTTCCGATATGGATTACTGCATCAAGACAAGAATTCAATAACAGAATATTATTTGAAATTAATTAGTTGTAATAATACTGTCAATCTTTATAAAGATCATTTTAAAGAAAAATTTTTTATTGGGTTATTACCAAAATATATATCCATTTTATTTGGTTTTAATCTTATCTCTTCTCATAATGAATTTATAAATATACTTATTTAGTGTTAAAATAACGTATAATAATGAAAACGAATTTATGACTTAAAGAGTCGTCCTAAGGGTCTGATATATATTTTTTGATACTATTACAGATAAAAAATAACAGAGATAGATAACCGCGAGCTAACTTATTTTTTCTATGTATATAAAATGTTTAGAAGATTAAGATTAGATATTACATGCTTATCACTTTTTTTCTCACAAGTTTAAAAAAAGATATATGGTCATCCGGTCAAAGATATATATATTATTAATTGTAATTATCTGGCTTCGAGTGATGGAGTCACGAGAAAGCGGGGTACAACTTATACGTGTTGCCCAAATCCCAAATCATTTGGGATTTGGGACGCCAAAATCCCAAATTACTAGTATTTGGTATACCTGCCACCCAAATTCAAAATCCAAATGCCAAAATCCCAAATGCCAAAATCCCAAATCCCAAATCCCAAA